TTCCCTCGTTCTCAACCTCTGTTGTCCCCTCCTCCTTCTCACACTTGGCCCTCTCGTCGCTCTCCTCGTGCTCGTCCCTCGTCCCCTGTCCCTCTCACTAACCTTTGGACTGCCCTGTTCCGTCCTAGTCCTCCTCGTTTGTCTCCGTCTGTGTTTCCTTCTCCTCCTAAGTCAGCCTTCACTGCTTCCCACTCTACTTCTGTCACTGACTTCTACCGCACGTACCGCCCTGTTCTCTCTCGTATTCTCGTCTCTCTTGTTACCCACCCTCGTGCCTCTCTGTCCTCTGTCTCCGCTCTTACTACTGCAATCACTGAGTTTGCCTCTACTCGCCGCCTTGACTACGCCACCAGTCTTGTGGCTGCTCCTCCTACCAGTCCTCTAGCCGTAGGGGGCAAGTCTGCCCTTGGCTATGACGCCCTAGAGGACAGGCAGTTTGAGCTAGAGTTCCTGGCAGCCGCTTCCCCTCATCTCTGTGCCATGCTACTCGCCCCCGAGGGAAATCCCGTCGCCCTTGACATATTGATTCCTCGCACTTACGCTGAGGCAATGTTGGAGCCTTGGGCCTCTCAGTGGAGAGCTGCCATGGACGTAGAGATGGCCTCCTACAGATCCACAGGCACCTACGTCGACGAGGTTCCCCCCCTTGGGGCGAACGTAGTCGATGGCATGTGGATCTACAGGGTGAAGCGGCCATCGAGATCTCCTCCGGTCTTCAAGGAATGCTACGTGGCTAGAGGTTTCAGTCAGCGCGAGGGAGTTGACTTCTTTCAGACCTTTGCGCCTACCCCGAAGATGACCACTCTTCGGGTGTTACTGCACGTAGCAGCACAGAGAGACTACGAGCTACATTTTCTTGACTTCTCCACTCCCTTCCTTCAGGGTAGCCTACACGAGGAGGTCTGGTTGCGTCGTCCCTCTGCCTTCACTGGCACTTTCCCTCCTGGGACCCAGTGGAGGCTAAGGCGACCGGTCTACGGTCTCCGTCAGGCTCCTCGTGAGTGGCACGACACCTTTCGTTCTACCCTGTCTGACCTTGGTTTCCAGCCGTCTTCTGCCGACCCATCGCTGTTCGTTCGTCGTGGCTCCACACCATACTTTGTTCTGGTCTACGTCGACAACCTGGTGTTCGCCACTGCTGACACGGTTGCCTTGGCAGACGTGAAGTCCGAACTGCAGAAGAGACACACCTGCACTGACCTTGGTGAGCTGCGCCACTACCTTGGCCTGCAGATGATGCAGCAGGTCCTTCAGCGGTTCGGGCTTCAGCACTCCACAGTACAACACACTCCTCTTGCTGTTGACCACAGACTCACTGGACCCTTTCCCAACGAGCTGTTTGGGCCTCGTGGTCCCTACGCAGAGCTTGTGGGCTGCCTCATGTACCTGATGACTTGTACTCGTCCGGACCTCGCCTTCTCTTTTAGTAACATTGTTCGCTTTGTTGTGCCAGGGAGACACCGTCCTGTTCACTGGACGGCAGCTGTGAGGGTGGCAAAGTACCTAGCGACGACATCAGGCGTGGGGCTGGTTCTTGGAGGCTAGCAGTTTTATCAAGATACCAAGCAGTCAGAGAGCAGAAGGCTTAGGAGCCATAGGCTTAGAGGCCAGTAGCTAGGGCTTAGGGTTTCTGGAAGAGAATTGAAGAAGGAAGTGGTTTGGACTAGGAGCAACAGGATACAAATAGGAAACCCTAATGGGCTGTACTCGCTATAGAGTACCCCACTGCAGGCTAGACAAACATAACATTCTGACACACCCCCATAGCCAAAGTGGGGTGTAATCAGTACAATGAGCAGGCATAGCAATAGTTCACAATTATAAGCAAAGCTAGAGGTGATCATAGAGGGCAAGTGAGGAGGAGGAGAGACTGTGAGGGCGAGAAGATGAAAGGCGCCGACTGAAGCTGCAGACACACGGGCAACAGGAGCGGCGCGCACAGTGGCTACCGAGCGCACGAGGGCACCGGACTACGGGAGTATCTGGCTCCGCGGCTACGACGAGCACACACAGGAGCAACGGACCCACAGGCGACTGGCGAAGCAGGCTCGCTGGGCTACCGAAACGCGCGAGGGCATCCGGACTACTGGCGCTGCTGGCGTCACGACGGCTACCTCCTTACAACCTCCCCCAACTGTCCCACACCCCTGTCACACACCCCCTGCTAAACCCCTGGCTCCACTCACACTCCACCCCCCAAGCACCACTTCGAAGGCTCCCACACATCCACCCCCCTCAGCAGCAGCTGTAGCAGTGGGAGACAGAGGAGGAGGGGGAGCCGGGAAGGGTCACACACCCATAACCCCCACACTTGCCACCCCCACACTCGCCACCCCCAAACCCTAACACAGGCAGCAGCGGGGGGGGGGGGGGGGAGGGGGGTGTGCGGGCAGCAGCTAGAGAGAGGGCGGCTCCCCAGGGCGTTTCGGCGGGCGATGGGAGGGGCTGACGCGCGACCCCCCAGGGCGCCACGACGGGCGAGAGGAGGGGGCTGCGCGCGGGCCCCCAGGGCGCCGCGACGGGCGACGGGAGGGGCTTACGCGCGGCCCCCAGGGCGTCACGACGGGCGACGGAAGGGGGGCTGCGCGCGGGCCCCCAGGTCGCCGCGACGGGCGACGGGAAGGGGGGGAACGGCGCGCGGGCCCCTGGTGTGGCGCGACGGGTGACGAAACCGCCGCGCGCGTCCGGGGCACGCGGCGGGAAGAAAAAAACAATGTCACGTGCCGCGGGGCGCGCGACAGGCAGTACAGCAGCAGCGGAAGCATACGGGCCCACAGGCCAGGAGCTAAGTAGCTCTAATACCATATCAAGATACTAAGCAGTCAGAGAGCAGAAGGCTTAGGAGCCATAGGCTTAGAGGCCAGTAGCTAGGGCTTAGGGTTTCTGGAAGAGAATTGAAGAAGGAAGTGGTTTGGACTAGGAGCAGCAGGATACAAATATGAAACCCGAATGGGCTGTACTCGCTATAGAGTACCCCACTGCAGGCTAGACAAACATAACATTCTGACAAGTTTGTTGTACTTACGGGTCACTGTGACTCTTCTGACGCTGACGACGCTGAGATTCACAGGTCTATTTGGGGGTACTGCTTCAGCCTGGGTTCTGGAGCTGTTTTGTAGAGGTCCACGCGCTCCTCCTCGATCTCGACCTCTACTGATGAGGCTAAGATCTATGCTGGTGCCATGGCGGCACAGGAGCTGTGTTGGTTGACTTTCTTGCTCGCCGACCTTGGTGAGCGGCACAGCTCTGCACCGACCTTTTTGACTGACAACAAGGCGTCGATTCTCCTCTGTCGAGAGCCGCGACTGGAGAGCAGAGTGAAGCACATTAACGTCAGGTACTTTCTTCTGCGAGAGTTGCAGAGACGTGGACAGGCTCGCTTCGAGTTTGTGGAGTCCGAGGCCAACACTGCAGACATCTTCACCAAGGCGCTTCTGCCTTGTGACCACCAGAGGTGTTGTGTGCAGTTAGGTCTTGTTGACACAGGTTCTCGTCTTGCGTAGACTTGAGCTCATTGTTTGCTTTGTTTGTATGCTTTACATATACCTCTATGAACTCTTGGACTGGCCTTGTGGCCCCTTTTGCTTGTGCTCAGACAGTGTGGTGACGTTGTGATCCACCCTGATCTTTGTTTCTTGTGACTGGTCTTGTGACCGTACTGTGTTGGTTTTGCTAGACACCCCTCACTTAGGCTATGGGGGTGTGTCAAATATTGTAGCCTATAGTGAGGCATGTCATATGGGGTACAATTGTTGAATTGTAATGTGTTACATGTTGGTAGGCTGTAGTGGGGTAGCCAATATGGGGTACAACCCCAACTAGGGTTTGCTACTTGTACCCAACTGTTTCATTCAATGCACCATTCTTGCCTAGTCCTGTTGATATGGTATCAGAGCAGGAGGTCCCTAGGACCTACCGACCGTTTTTTTTTAGGGCCCACCACCGCTCGCATGCGGTTACCACGCTACCCCGTGCCCTAGCCTCGTTAGCGCCCTCGCGCGCCCTCGTTAGCGCCCTCGCGCGCCCCTCGTTAGCGCCCTCGTGCGCCTCTCGTTAGCGCCCTCGTGCGCCTCTCGTTAGCGCCCTCGTGCGCCTCTCGTTAGCGCCCTCGTGCGCATATCGTTAGCGCCCTCGCCCCCCGTTGCGCCCTCGCCCGCCGCGCTGCTCATCGCGCAGCCCGTTGCGCTGCCCGCCGCGCTGCCCGCCAGTAGCGGCGCCCATCCGCCGCGCTATCCGCTCGCGCTGCCCGCTCGCAGCGTCGCCCGCTCGCCGTGCTGCCCGCTCGCAGCGTCGCCCGCCCGCCGCGCTGCCCGCTCGCAGCGTCGCCCGCCCGCCGCGCTGCCCGCTCGCAGCGTCGCCCGCCCGCCGCGCTGCCCGCTTGCAGCGCCGCCTGCCCACCTCGCTGCCCGCTTCGTAGCCCGCTCGCCTCGCTGCCCGCTCGCAGCGCCGCCCGCCCGCCCGCTGCCCGCTTGCAGAGCCACCTGCCCGCCGCGCTGCCCGCTTCGGTGGCCGTCCGCCGCGCTGCCTCTTTGCAGCGCCGCCTGCCCGCCGCGCTACCTGCCACGCTGCCCGCTCAGAGCGCCGCCCGCCCGCCGCGCTCCCCACCGAGCTACCTGCTTGCAGCGCTGCGGCAGCTTGCTTTGCTCAGTCGCACTGTCGCTATGGCTTCCATCCGCGTGCTGTCGTTCGATGCTGAGGGCCGCCCTGTGCAGTTCACCACTTGGCTAGATGACCTGCAGCTGTTCCTCCTGAGCGATAGCAAGGAGCATGTGTCGCTCTATGATTACGCGTCTGGTGCTGCGCCTGCCCCTCCTACCACAGCTGAGCTTAGTGTTCGTTCCCACTGGCAGACTCGTGACGCAGCTGCTCGCCTAGCCATTCGCAGTCACCTGCCGTTAGCTGAGCTCGAGCATTTTGGCGACTGCAAATCCGCTAAGGCCCTGTACGACGCTGTCGTTGCTCGCTACTCCTCGCCTGCCACAGCCGAGCTTAGCCGCCTCATGCTGCCTTACCTGTTCCCTGAGCTGTCCACCTTTGCTACAGTTGCCGATCTCATCACCCACCTTCGCACTAGTGATGCTCGCCTGCGTGCCGCCCTTCCCACCGAGTTCTGCGCTAAGAACCCCCCCTCCACTGTACTGGACCCTCCACTTCATAGTCACCCGTCTCCCTGACACCCTCAGCTCAGTTCGAGACCACTTCCTTGCTCGCTGTCCCACTGAGCTCACAGTCGCCCTCCTAGAGGAGCAGCTGCTAGCGGCCGAGAAGAGCATTGTAGCTGTCGGTGCTGCTCGTGGCGCTCCTCGCACCCCCATCTTTGAGGGGTGTTCTCCCTCTCCCCTCGCTCCCTCCTACGCTACTGCTGCTGCTGTTGACTTCCTTGGTGCTGAGTCTGCTGGCGCTGCTTCTGCTCCTGGTGGGAGGCGCCGCACCGGCAAGGGCAAGGGGGGCAAGGGTGGCGGGGGTGGCGCTGGGGGGGGAGGAGGTGGGGGAGGTGGGGGGGGAGGCGGTGCTGGAGGGAGCGGTGGCGGGAGTGCCGGTGGGAGTGGGGTCGGCAGCGGAGGCGGGGGCGGCGGAGGGAGCGGTGGCGGTGGTGGCGGCGGCGGCGGTGGCGGCGGCGGCGGCGGTGGCGGTGGCGGCGGTGGCGGTCGGAGCGGAGGTAGTGGTGGCGGCGGAGGTCGGAGTGGAGGCACTGGCTCGGGCCAGAGCTCCCACCAGCAGCAGCGTCCCCAGACGACCCAGCAGCTTCGTGAGTGGCTTACTCAGCGTGGGACGTCGGGGGGCAGTGGCCGCTGTTCCTATGTCATTCGCACAGGTGACCGCAAGGGACAGACGTGTGGGAGGTTCCACACCCCGTACCGCTGCTTCTCCCGCCTTGACGACGCTTGGCGTGAGGAGATGGGCGAGGATGTTGAGCGCCCCCGCTGGGCTGAGCTGATGAGGGCTGGTGTTGATATCTTTGCTCTTGACTATGATGCTATTATTGCTGCCATGTATGCATTGACTGTTAGTGCTGAGGGAGACTGTTACTTGTGTGTGCCGCCTGACCCAGGTATAGAGCCCGCTGCCCTGGGTACTAGTGAGTCTGCTCTCTCTGGTCTGGTGCCCTCTGTGGCTGCTCCCTCCAGTACTGTCCCTACTGCTTGTGAGTCTGCTCTCTCAGGTACAGCACCCACAGAGACTGCTCTCTCAGGTACTGCACCGGCTGAGGCCTTGCACACCTTCACCCTTGACTCAGGTGCTTCCCGCTGTTTCTTTCGTGACAGTACTGAGCTCACTCCACTTCCTGCACCGGTCCCAGTCTCCTTGGCTGACCCCTCGGGGGGCCCAGTCCTTGCACGGTCCACCACTGTGCTCCCGTGTCCGGCGGTTCCGTCTGGCTCGTTGTCGGGTTTCCACCTCCCCTCGTTCTCGACGAACCTGGTGAGCAACGCTGTCATCCAGGATCAGTGGGTTGACACCTTTACTCCTGGAGGACAGCGTGTGGCGATCCTCACGTGCTCCAGGACTGGCCGTCACCTGGCTACGTTTACCCGTCAGCCGGGGTCGAGTCTCTACACACTGTCCACTGCGTCTCCTCAGGTCGCTGCTGTCGGTCAGGTGTCCGCGTCAGGTCTGGTAGCCCACGCCTGTGAGTGTCGTTCCCTGTCGCACCAGACTCTTCTCTGGCACCACCGCCTGGGTCACCCCTCCTTGCCACGCCTCCGTGGCATGCACCGTCGCCACCTTGTGTCTGGTCTTCCCAGGTCCCTCCCTCCCCTCCCTGCCTCGCCTGCGCCGCCTTGCCTTCCTTGCGTCGAGGGGCGGCAGCGCGCCGCTCCTCACTCCTCCTCGTTTCCCCCGACAAAGGCTCCTCTGCAGACCCTCCACCTGGACGTGTGGGGCCCAGCCCGCGTTCGTGGCCAGGGCGGTGAGCGGTATTTTTTGCTGGTTGTCGACGACTACTCGCGTTACACCACGGTCTTCCCCTTGCGCACCAAGGGTGAGGTCCCTGCTGTTCTGATCCCTTGGATCCGCACAGTTCGTCTCCAGCTCCGCCGCCGTTTCCGGACAGATCTTCCTGTCCTGCGTCTGCACTCTGACAGAGGTGGTGAGTTCTCCTCCGACCTCTTGAGGACCTTCTGTCAGGCAGAGGGCATCGAGCAGACCTTCATGCTTCCGGACTCCCCACAGCAGAATGGGGTTGCTGAGCGCCACATTGGCCTGGTCATGGAGGTCGCTCGTACCTCCTTGGTCCACGCGGCGGCTCCCCATTTTCTGTGGCCGTTTGCTGTCCGGTACGCCACGCATCAGCTCAACCTCTGGCCCCGTGTCTCCTTGCCGGAGACCTCGCCCACACTGCGTTGGACGGGGGAGGTTGGCGATGCGTCGCGCTTCCGGGTGTGGGGTGCTCGTGCCCTTGTCCGCGATACGTCCGCGGACAAGCTCTCCTCCCGCACGCTTCCCTGTGTCTTCCTTGGCTTTGTCCCTGACGCGCCTGGCTGGCAGTTTTACCACCCCACCTCGCGCCGGGTCTTCGCCTCTCAGGACGTCACCTTTGACGAGTCGGTCCCTTTTTACCGTCTCTTCCCCTACCGCACTGCCCCCCTCCCTCCCCCGCCGCTTTTCCTCGCTCCTGGTCCCCCTCCGGTAGACCCCCTTCCCCCTCAGGGTCCTGCTCCTTCAGGTGTCTCTCAGGTAGACCCTCCTCCCGTCGCTGAGCCTGTCGAGGTCACAGGTGACTCAGGTGCTGCTGCAGGTGGTGCTGCTGGGAGTGCTGAGCCTGGGGGTGCTGAGCCTGCGGGTGCTGGGCCTGGGGGTGCTGCGGCTGCGGGTGCTGGGACTGAGGGTGCTGGAGCTGAGGGTACTGTGCCTGAGAGTTCGGAGCCTGGGGGTGCTGAGCCTGGGGGTGCTGCGACTGGGGGTGCTGAGCCTGCGTGTACGGAGTCTGGGGGTGCTGCGCCTGGGGGCACTGAGCCTGGGGGTACTGCGACTGAGCCTACGGAGCCTGGGGTTGCTGCGTCTGGGGGTGCTCCGGTTCGGGGTGCTGAGCAGTCTCTCACACCGCAGCAGCTTCGTGACTGGTACGTCCGGCGCTTTCGCCGTCCTCGTGGCCCTGCTGGAGTTGGCGGTTCTGGAGCTGCTCGTCCTGGAGGTGCTCGTACTGGAGGTACTGGAGCTGCCGGGACTGGCTGTTCTGGGAGCACTGAGGCTGGAGCTGCTGGAGCTGGGGACTCTGGAGCTGGCGGTGCCAGCGGAGTTGGAGCTACCGGCTCTGGGGGTGCTCTTCCTGGCGGTACTGGAGCTGCTGGAGCTGACGGTTCTGGATACGGTGGTCCTGCTGGTTCTGGAGGTGCTGGCGAGGGGAGGTCTGACGCTGCTGGGGCCTCTGGTGCTGACGTCGCCGACTCTGGGGGTGCTGCGGCGGAGGGTGCTGGTCCTGGTGCTTCTGGTGCTGCGGGTGCTGGAGGTGCTGGCGGAGCTCCGCCGTCGCGCCTGTTCTTCGCTCCTCCGTCACCGTCGGCTTTGCCACCGCCTGACACGGTGCTTCGCCAGGTTCTTTCCCTCCCGTCTTCCACTGGCCTTCCCCTCCAGCCTGGCTCCCCCCTCCCTGCTCCTGTGCCTTACACTGCGCAGCCGGACTCGCTTACGGAGCGTCGTGAGCCTGCGTCTCGTCCTGCCTCGCCTGTTCGCGCTGCTCGCACTGCTCGCACTGCGCGCACTGGTCCCACTGGTCGTCGTGTCGCGCGTCCGCGTCCTCCTCCTGTTCCTGGCACGCATATTATGGCCCTTCGTCCTTCCACTGGTCCACAGCGTGTCCCCCTACCGTCTCCTCCTGCGTCTTCTCTTCCTGACGTTCCCGACCCTGAGTCTGACAGTGTTCGTGCTGCCCACCCTACTGTTACGCGTCTTCTCGCCACTGTTGTCACTGACCCGTCGTTTGAGTCTTCTGCTGCGTCTGCCCTGGTCGCTGAGCTTGTCGACTTTGCTGCTGCATGTCGCCTAGACTACGCCGCCAGTCTTGTTGCTGAGTCTGAGTCTGTCTGTCCTCCGTCCGTCGGGGGTGAGTGTGCTCTTGGCACGGACGTCCTTGAGGACAGGCAGGAGGACTTTGACTCTCTTGCGGCTGCTGTACCTCATCTCGTGGCCTGGTTGCTTGCCCCTGAGGGAGACCCGGATGCACTAGACATCCCCACTCCGCGCTCTTACGCAGAGGCGATCTCGGGTCCCTACTCCTCTCAGTGGCAGACAGCCATGGACGCAGAGATGGCATCCTGGAAGTCCACAGGCACCTACGTCGACGAGGTTTCCCCTCCTGGGGCGAACATCGTCGATGGCATGTGGATTTTCAGGGTGAAGCGGCCGCCGGGTTCTCCGCCTGTCTTCAAGGCTCGTTACGTTGCTAGAGGCTTCAGTCAGCGCCAGGGGGTTGACTTCTTCCAGACCTTCTCCCCCACCCCGAAGATGACCACTCTTCGGGTTCTGCTGCACGTTGCTGCTCAGCGTGACTACGAGCTTCACTCTCTTGACTTCAGCACAGCTTTCCTGCAGGGCAGCCTGCACGAGGAGATCTGGCTGCGCCGCCCACCTGGCTTTACTGGGTCGTTTCCTCCTGGTACCCAGTGGAGCCTCCGCCGGCCAGTCTACGGTCTCCGCCAGGCGCCACGTGAGTGGCACGACACACTGAGGACTACACTTGCGGCCCTTGGGTTCGCGCCGTCTACTGCTGACCCGTCGCTGTTTCTGCGCACAGACACGTCGCTGCCGCCGTTCTACATTCTCGTGTACGTCGACGACTTGGTCTTTGCTACTGCTGACACTGAGGCACTCGCTCGTGTGAAGTCAGAGCTGCAGAAGAGACACACCTGCACTGACCTGGGTGAGCTGCGTAGCTACCTTGGCTTGCAGATCACCCGGGACAGAGCACGCCGCACCATTACCCTGACTCAGTCACACATGGTGCAGCAGGTCCTTCAGCGCTTCGGCTTCCAGTTCTCCTCACCACAGGCCACACCTCTGGCTACCAGCCACTCGCTCTCAGCTCCACCTTCGGACGAGTCCGTAGAGCCGAGTGGCCCGTACCCAGAGCTTGTAGGCTGCCTCATGTACCTGATGACTTGCATGCGACCTGACCTCGCGTACCCTCTTAGCATCCTTGCTCGTTACGTTGCGCCTGGGAGACACAGGCGAGAGCACTGGGAGGCTGCTAAGAGGGTGCTGCGTTACTTGTGCAGTACATCAGGCATGGGGCTGGTGCTTGGAGGACGCGACAGAGTTGTTCTCACTGGTCACTCGGACGCTTCTTGGGTGGACGACTTGGCTACGCAGCGGTCGTCGCAGGGTTACACCTTCAGCCTTGGCTCTGGTTCTGTCTCGTGGCGGTCCACCCGTTCTTCTTCTGTTCTCAGCTCTAGTTGTGAGGCTGAGATCTACGCCACGGCCATGGCTGCACAGGAGTTACGCTGGCTCACCTACCTGCTGACTGACTTGGGAGAGCGGCCTAGTTCTCCTCCAGTTCTGTACGGCGACAACAAGGCGGCCCTTGCCTTGTGTCAGGAGCACAGACTGGAGCACAGGACGAAGCACATTGCTCTTCGCTACTTTCTTGCTCGAGAGCTGCAGCAGCGAGGTCAGCTTCGGCTTGTGTACGTGGACTCGAAGGCCAACACTGCTGATATCTTCACCAAGGCGCTCCCGCCTAGTGATCATCAGCGGCACTGTACTTCTTTAGGCCTTGTGTCCACATTCCCTCATTTGCTTACTGCTTGACTTTCTTTGTACTGTACTTTATATATATCTTGTTGCTTGCTTGCTAGGTTTTGATCACTGTGTTGCTTGTCTTGTACTATATCTAGCACTGCATGTGAACTGGCCTTGTGGCCTTTGTTTGTGCTCGGAGTGTGGTGACGTTGTGATCCACCCTGGGCTTGCGTTGCTTTGCTGGACTGGTCTTGTGACCCTTTGTTCTCCCCCACTTTGCCTATGGGGGTGTGTTAAATTGTAATGTGTTACATGTTGGTAGGCTGTAGTGGGGTAGCCAATATGGGGTACAACCCCAACTAGGGTTTGCTACTTGTACCCAACTGTTTCATTCAATGCACCATTCTTGCCTAGTCCTGTTGATAACAATTGTTAGGGTAAGGTGTATGTACCCCAACCAACATTGTCAATACAACAGTTTCGATTCTGACACTAACCAATGGGATAAAATGACTTGTTTGTGTAGCAGTTGTGTGCGCCCATAATCCCCCAGGCCGACGTGCCTGTAACCCTTCTCTAGGATCAATCGGGGATCTACAGTGAACCTCTGACATATTGTGAGCATTGGTGAAAGAGACACATGATAGTGAATAAAGACAACATAATATGAGTTTGTTTAGTCCTGGCTGATCAAGCGCTCCTTTGAACGGTATCTTTTTTGATGATTATATTGATTCATGAATCGTAGCTGTTATACATTCAGCAATGTAATTGTCTGATATTTTTTTCCAGCACTAGGTTCCATATATTCATTTGTCTATAAATTAAATGACACAGGTTTTCTGTACACACCAAGCTATTAGGCTGGGATTGTCCCGCCACTATTGCCCTCCAGCAGCCTGCCCTCAACCAAGCACAATAACGATGAAGAGACGTAATCCTGGCCGTCCGTTGACCTGCTCGTCTCGGCTGGAAGAGGGTTTATCGCTCATATGCTGTCTCTCTGTCTCCCCTCTTCCCTCTCCCCTCCCTCCCTCACCAAGCCCACTATATCCTGCCTAGTCGCACCTCCTGCTCTCCTTTTGGTCAGGCAGAAATCCTTAGGAGGTATCGGCACGACCGCCCACCATGGGTAATCTCTCTCCCTTACGCGTCAGAATTTTCTTAAGTTCCTTTTTAGCCGTCGATTTAAGGTTCTACTCCGCCATTCGTCCGGTGACAGTTTTGCGGAACCAGCAATCCCTAGTTTAGCCAACTGTACTGTCGTGCCTCGTGCGTGCACGGGGCTGTGTGCGTGCGTGCGGTTGTGCGTGGCAGGAGCGTACAAGTACGTGTCGGAGCTATGGAAGAAGAAGCAGTCAGACGTCATGCGCTTTCTGCTGCGCGTGCGCTGCTGGGAGTACCGCCAGCTGCCCTCCATCATCCGCGTCTCGCGACCCACTCGCCCTGACAAGGCTCGCCGCCTCGGATACAAGGCCAAGCAGGTGCGCGCCCGTCGCCTCGCCTGCCATCGCCGTTTAAACCCAGTTGCCACTCGGCGCCATACCGCTTTCGTCGCTAACTGTGGCCCCGAGCCGAGAAACTTCGTTGGGCCGCATTCCATCCGCCGGACCTCTTTGTGTTTCCATGTGCTGCTCCCTCTGCCGATTCGTTTCGCTTCGTCTTTTCCGGCTCGCCTTGCCCCGCGCTCGTGATCCGAAGGCGCAGAAGCGCCAGCCGTGCTCCCCTGTGTCCGCTGTGTGCCCCTCAATCCGAGTCATAAGATTCAGCGAATTGTAGATACATGAGCGTGTGATCCACGCAGAATCATAGATTCGTCGCGTGCATGGCACCCAATTTCATCCATCATGCCATCGCATCCAGCGAGGGCACCCCGCCTGCGCAACGATGCGGCTTGCAGCAGCGTATTCTTTCGGGGGCAAACGCACGATGTCTCGTCTTGATCCCGTTCATTGTTTAGTTTTAGTCGCGTCGCTCAGAGCAGCACGTTCTGCGTAGACCGATTGGATCGCTGCATGGTTTACAGTTCGCATTGCGCAGCCACGTGTCACCCTCCATTGATCCCGCATTCCCCACCAGTTTCCGTCGCTCCAGCCGCCTGTCTTGCCCCGCTCACCACCAATCTGACCCGTCTTCCCCGTGTCCCCATGTCCTCCCTGTGTCTCCGTCTCCCCGTTCCCCCCGCGTGTCGTGACCCGCGGGTGCGCGCAGGGCTATGTGGTGTACCGCGTGCGCGTGCGCCGTGGCGGCCGCAAGAAGCCCGTCGCCAAGGGTATCGTGTACGCCCTCTCGCCCTCTTGCCCCTTCTCCCCCGCTCCTCGCCTGCCTCCTCCGAGCCGCACGCTTGTTTTCTCAAAAAAATTCCACTCATGCCGTCGCTCTTGGCTTCTCTACTACTCTCTCGTTGCACCTCCCCATCTTCACGCTCTTTCCCCGTTTCCATTCTCCCCCCCTCCGTCCATCGCGCGTTCACTGTCTGATCGCATCTGCTTGGTGATGTGGTGTGCGCGCGTCGTGTTGTGGTGGTGCGCGCGTCGTGCTGTGATTGTGCGCGCTTGGCGGCGGCAGGTACGGCAAGCCGAAGAGCCAGGGCGTGACGCAGCTCAAGTTCCAACGCAACAAGCGCGCCGTCGCGGAGGAGCGCGCTGGTCGCCGCCTGGGGGGGCTGCGCGTGCTCAACTCCTACTGGGTCAACCAGGTGCGCTGTGTGCCCGCGCGCGCGTGTGTGGGGTGGGGGGGAGGTGTAATCTGTGGAGTGAGGGTGGGTCATGGTGGGTGTGTGTGTGTGTGTGTGTGCGCGCGCGCGCGCCCGCGCTCGCTTGCCCCTGAGCCCACCACTGCCCACACACTAAAGCGCACCCTCTGTTCCTCCTCACAGCAACCCCACGGACGAACTGAGTGTAGGTGAAACAAACGCCCACAGCTGTCTTCCATGTTACGCCCACCGCACGCCACCCTCACCACTCCCTCCATCCCCCCCTCTCCCCCCCTTAATCACCCTCTTTCTCCTCCCCCCCTCCCCCGCCCCGCCCCCCCAACACAACCCCCCCTGTTCCCCAACCTTCTCTCCCCTTCCCCACTGTCCCCTTTCTCGCCCTTTACCCCGCACACCGCCAGGACTCGGCATTCAAGTACTACGAGGTGATCCTGGTGGACCCGCACCACCAGGCCATCCGCAACGACGCGCACATCAACTGGCTGTGCCGCCCCGTCATGAAGCACCGTGAGCTGCGCGGCCTCACGTCCGCCGGGCGCCACCACCGCGGGCTGCTGCGTAAGGGCCACAAGAGCACCAAGAACCGCCCCTCCGTGCGCGCCTTCTGGAAGCGCAACACCATGCTCTCGCTGCGACGCTACCGGTAGACGCGTGCACGGGGCAGCTTGGGGTTGGGGTAGGGCAGATAGCAGGGAAAGATGGCGGTACAGAGTGGCGGTGCCAGGTGGTGATGGGGAAGTGTGCAGATGGTGCCTGGATGGAGAGGTCATGCTAGATTGCTGCTGGATCGGCTTGTCTCTGTTGTTACTACAAGTTGCTTGTTGTGAAGTATATTCACAAGCAATTGCTCTCTAGCACTGTATTGCTTGCTTCCTATGGCGATACAAGGCAGGCACCCAACCAACACAGAACAGAACAATCACCACGGCCAACCTGCACTGACTCTTTACTGCTGGATAGGGCACCCAGACCATACAAACAGGCCCTCAGATTGGATTCAAGAGACCCTAGCCCATCAGGCGTAGGGAAACGCCCCGACAACCTGAATGTTGTTGCATACGTATTTTGGTGGCCCATGTTGAAATACACCTACCAGGGAAATTTTAGCTTTGTTCGTGCGCACAGAAAAGTTCGGCGCCTGCGATGACGGCTGTGCCTGCCGACAAATAGTAACGAAGCACATGTATCCCTATAGGCGCAGGGAAAAGCATCGAAAGATCGATGATGCTCGCAACCCTCCCACGCCTTTGCTGGCTTGGCAATAGGCCCGGCGAAGCGCAACAACGTCAGGGCTGATTTTATCAGGGTAATTACCCTGATTTCAGGGTGATTACAGGCTTCTCACTTGGTGGTCCCTGCAATCTCAGATTTTTAAACTTGTGAACTCCGATCCAATCAGATACCGTAAGTTACTTTGCGAACTCTGAAATGTTGTAACTAGGCTCAGACTAGTGTAGTTGCGGACTCTGTCTATGTAGAGTATGCGTTCCGTGGACCCTGAATGCTGTTGGGCTGAGGAAGCCCTTAGGATCTTTTGCAGGGGTAAATTCGGGGTAGAACTTGTTGGAAACAACAAGTCGTAAGCGCCTCTGTCGTATCGTAACATCGCACCAGAAGCGAAGCGAACCATATCGAGACACCCGCGAGTCAACCCTCGGAGGTTGAAGAAACTGTTGGAGGTTACGCGAAAGTCAAAGGTCAGCGACCTTTGACCTGACAAATACAGCGCGACAGCAAGGACACACAACTGACTCGTTACAGAGCAGTTGCCCGAGTCGTCACTGTATCGAACCGCAACAGCAAACAGTAAAAGTAGTTACAACCATATCTCCTCACATTCCTTGTACTCTTATATAAATGCTTGTATCCTCTTGCTTTAATCAACTTACTTTGCTCTCACACACTAGTGCAAGGTGGTTCACAAGTCTTCATTAAACGCTTCCGCTATCACATAGTTTCTACCCCGAGTTTACCCCCTGCAAAGATCCTAAGGGCTTTTCTCAGCCCAACATGGTATGAGAGCCTTCAGGGGAAAACTCAACTACTAAGATCATCATAAGACATGACAACACAAAAGGAGAGGAGCTCTTCTAATGGCTCCCAGGGTACAACTCCTACCCCACCCCCTGCCTCCGGCCTACAGACAGAGGAGGGTACGACGACAAGACCAAGGGGAGCATCTGCCGAAACCCCTTCAACTCAACCCGCCACCTTCGACCAGAGTATGATGGAGAAATTCTTCTCCTTCATGTCCTTCTACGAGCAGCATCAACAATCGGCAACTGCGCAGTCAAACAACAGCAACAACAACCATGAGGCGACTCCAATGAGTCTCGACGGCTCATCATATGCGCGCGGAAATCAGCAACAACCCACTTTTGCCCCGTATGGACGTGGGTCCGTCAGCTTCATGCCACACCCGCAAGCTCCACCTGGACAAGAAAAACCACTGGATGCACTGCAAGTTCAGTCGCAATTCGCACACGTCTTAGAACTGCAGACGTCAAGGCCCTTCGACGGCAAAGACTTCTTCACCTGGTCGTTTGAATTCGAACTCATGATGGAAGGAGCGCAGATACTCGGCTTCTTCGACGGGTCCCTGCCATACCCAACAAACGGCACACAGTACGAGAAGCAGCAGTACACCTATCAGTCAATGATGGCGTACACAATCCTACTGCGGAATGTCACACCAACACAGCAGCAGAACATACGGTCTTACCGGACTTTCGGCAACTCGGCGGAACTTGCATACAGCCACCTGAAGAACCTGTATCAAGCAACAGACAGCATAAGCCAAAGCAGGTTAATGGCGCAGCTAACAACAGTTGAGATGAAACCAGGCGAGAAAGGACTGGCATATATCAGTCGGTGTCGCGAATTGCGCGACAAGCTTCTTCGATGCGGAGGGTCAATCTCTGAAGACGCCTTCGTGACAGTCATCATCGGCGGCCTTGGCCCTCAATGGCGCGCCACGAAAGCCATTCTCCGGGCACACGGAAGAATTTCTGAAGCAGCACTCTGCGCCGAAATCCACGCCGAGCAACAAGACATGGACCTGCAAGAAGAACGGCACAAGAAGAAATCGTCAATACCTGAGTTTGCCTTTCACACCCAAAGGCGTTACAACAGCAACAACAGCCGACAACAAACAAGAACCGTACTTCCGTTCTGCCACATCTGCAAAACTTCAGGACATCCGCGCACACACTGCCCGAATCGTCAACAGTCAACAACTCCTCAACGGCAACTTCGGCCTTCGAGCAGCCAAGTCACCTCAACGCAAGCAAATCCCACGACTCAGGCCCAAGCTTCAACAACCCCAACGGGACAATCTGCACAGGGAGCAAGAAACATCATCAGTTGCATGACAAAACTGACCGACTCCTGCGTCACTGAATCACCGCCACACTACTCACCGGAAGAACAGCTCGACAACAGGACACCACGCCGCGAGTTACTGCAGCCGAACCCGACATACGCCGCTATCGCCCAGAGTGAGCCATCCGGGAAGGACACATGGTTCTTGGACAGTTGCTGCGGACAGCACATGTGTTCTTCAGGACGCTTCGTACAACGAGAGTATCAACTTCAACGAGAAGTAGTCATCACCGTCGCCAACAACCAAAACCTGCGCACACGACGACAAGGAGTAGTTCAGCTTCAGTCACGAGAAACGAACGTCATTCTACAGATGTCGAAAGTCTTAATCGCAGAAGGCCTCGGCTACAACTTACTCAGCGTCAGTCAGTTGATGGCGAAGGGCATCCACCTTGAAGCAGACAGCACCACCCAGGAGTTCAAGCTGTACCACGGGAGAGGCGGCCTTTACATCGGCAAGGCGATTCTCAAGAACAACGTCTTCGTCCTTGACTTCGTCCCCGATCTTGGCACTGCCGACAGCGACGCCATCGTCAACTTCACCGATTGGACACACCCTCCAGATCTTGATCCAGACTTCAGTCCCGGCGGCTTCTGGTACTCCCACACCATCCCTGAAACAGAAAGAACAAGAGCATTAGCGACAATTCAGGAAACGGCAGCAGCAGAGACAACATCGGCAGCAGCAGAGACAACGACAGCAGCAGCAGGAACATCAACACCAGTCGCCGGTCCTTCAACGGCATCACTCCTCATCGACGATACACCTCCGACACCAGCACAGCAGCTTAACCCGGCACGACGAGAAGCCCACCGAAGCGCCAACATCACCGCCGACTTCTATTCGAACTCCGACATATACCGACGCTCACCCGGACATCGCACCAGCGAAGAAACCTGGCACGCAAGGATGGGACACCCAAGCAACACAGTGTTAAACAACACAATACGAGCAGGCGTGCTCGACAAAGACTCACTCCTGTTAACCGACGGCAGAGAACTCCAGCGAGCCCGTGGAACTTGCTTCACCTGCCCTGAAGCAGACTTACCGCATCAGCCGTTCCCTTCACATCACAACCCAAGCGCACCTGCATACACACCACTCGAAAAGGTGTACAGCGACATCTTGTACAACCGCGAACCTGGACAAAACGCATACAACTACACCATCACCTTCATCGACGCCGCCACTCGATACGTCTGGCATCTCAACCTTCCAAGCCGCGACATGGCCTTCGAAGCCTTCTTGGCGTGGCTTCCTGTAGCGGAAAGAGAATCAGGTGCGAAGCTGAAAAGCTTCCAGTCAGACGGGGGAGGAGAATACACCTCACAGAGGTTCAAGCAGTATCTGGCGGAAAGGGGCATCAAGCGTCTCATCTCCCTCCCCTACGCCCACCAACAGCAAGGCGTAGCAGAAAGGATGAACAGAACTCTCCAAAACACCATGCGCAAGCTGCTACGTGGCATGCGGCTACCCACCTCCAAGTGGCCCGACGCGATGGACCACGCTGTGATGCTGCACAACCTGCTATCTTCGTCGTCACTCCCGAACAACGCATCACCGCACCTGCTGTGGACAGGAAAACTGGGCAGCACAAAAATGTTACGGGTTTTTGGGTGCATGGTACAGTACAGACCGCCAGCAGCACGAGCAGGCCGATTCTCTCAACGCGCACAATGGGGACTACACCTGGGCATCGAAAAACACTACAACGCATGGAAGATTTTCGACGTCGCGACAAAAGAAACAGTGGCAGCACGTGATGTCATTTTCTACGAGCGGCTCACACTGCCAACATACCTTGCCAACCTGGGCGAGAACCAAGACCCCACAGGTGGATTTCGCAGAGACCGAGCCTTCGCCTCGGCAGAAGACGAAGCAGATTGGGACGAGCAGAACGTGGAAGGAGCCTCGGAAGAAGCCGGATCACTTCCATACTCCTCAGTTGACATCCCGATGGACGACGAAAATCCTCGCGAAAGCATCAACGCCGAAACGTATTACCACTTCGCCGACAACGGCTACGTTACACCTGCACAGGTCAATACGCACGAAGCAGAACGCGTAGGACCGAATTTCAACCCAACACCAGAAGCGGGAGACGAAGCAGTCTATCCCGAGGACACAACACTTCCCCGCTACACACAGAGTGGACTCCAAATCCTTGGCCTCGTCACCGCAGTCCACGGCGCAGGCAGCACTTCCTAAGGAGCCTGCAACGGTTCAGCAGGCTCTGGGGGGGGAGCATAAGGAAAAATGGCGCGA